AGGTAGACTGCTCAGCGTGGCCTGCGGTGGGGGCAGGTGGTAGTGGTGAAGTGTTCTATGGGCGTCTAGTGGTCCCTGGACCGCTTTTACAGAATAATTTTCTTCCCAAATTGTTCAGGGTAGGGACGAGATCCAGTTTCCACAACCAATGCACCAGAGTAAGCCATTTAAATGACACTTTTTTCTTTCACCCAAGAAAGGTTTCTTTTCTTTTAGACTTGAACTTCTGTTTGTGCAGCGATCGTGGAATTGGGTAGATGCCAGATAATTACCTTAATTTTCATTTTTTACATGGATCCTAAAATATTTTAGATGGCCTTAGGGAAAAGCAGGTGCCTCCTACTGTGTGCACTTGAATATCAGTTACTGCCTACTGAATGAGCCCTGTTTGCTTACCGCAGTACTGAGCACTGCGCATGCATTGATTAATCTTCTGCATTGTTATTGATACATAGGACACTTTTGATGCCCACTGTAAAAAGGAGATACTTGAGACCCTGGGAAGTTAAATAACGTGTTGACTTGTATGCTCTTTTTCTACTAAGCACACGTGAGGAGGCATGAGGACATCTAATCAGGGTATCTCTGTGGGTTCTGGCTTTGAAGAACCACCTACCTCCGTTCCAAACATATAACAATGCTGGATAAAATATGAAGGCAGAAAATGTAAAAGTCACAGCTGAGGTCATCATTTATTATCTAGTGACCTATGAATGGAAAAGAAATGTGAGCAGTTTGTTGTAAGCTGTGCTGAGGCCTCTGGCCTGTTGGCCTTGGTGGTGGACAGAGGGGTCCATACAATGTCTCCAGGGAAATGAGAAGTTAAAGGCACTCCACCCTAGGTGGAGATCCAGAGCTACCCTCATAGTCTGAAATCCAGGTGTGGCAGACTCCTCCACTCCTGAGCAAAGAACGAGTAATCCGCTGTCTGCTGCTCCTGGAGTCGGCAGCTTTTGTGGACTTGAGAAGGAGGAGGAGCTGACATGGACATTGAATTAGGAACTGAACCAAATCATTCACTGGTTCATGATATGACTGGTAATAATCCAGATGTCAGCACAATGTGATACTCCAATCTCCGTGATGAAACTGATTACAGACGGGTGCTTCTGGGCACAAAATGAACACAGAATTATTTGTAAGAGAAAGATGATAAGAGATAGGGGATGGAGCTGTATATAAAAACAACAACAACAACAACAACAAATAAAACTAAATTAAAATCCACCTACTTCAAGTGAACTTGCAATACAAAATTCCAAAGCACACAAGGAAGCCTTACACTAAGAAAGAGCCAATGAAATTGACCACTGAAAATAAATTTGACTCAGAAGAAATTAAAATGTTGAAATAGCCTGGCAAAGTATATTTTAGATGCTCAAAATATAAACAAAGGATTGCAGTCCTTTAAAAAGGTAGAAAAATCTAGCCTGGCCGGCGTGGCTCAGTGGTTGAACATCGACCCATGCACTGAGAGGTCACTGGTTCGATTCCCGGTCAGGGCAAATGCCCAGGTAGTGGGCCCAATCCCCAGGGGGAGGCATGCAGGAGGCAGCCAGTCGATGTTCTCTCTCACCGATGTTTCTCTCTCTCTTTCCCTCTCCCTTCCTCTCTAAAAATCAATAAAGAAAAAAAATTCTTAAAAAGGTATTCACCACCCCAGATCAAGTCTTCTTCCATCACATTTGTCCTCCCTTAACCTTTTCTACATCCCCTATGCCTCTTTCTCTCTGGTAATCACCATACTCTTGTCTATGACCTGTTCTGGTTTGTTTTGTTGTTTGCTTTTTGCTTAATCCTTTCACTTTTTTCACCCAATTATTTATTTACAAATACTTGTTAAGATCGTACTGTGTTCTGCGCTCTGTTTCGGTGCTAGAGAAGCAGCAATGAACAAACGTCCACATCCACGTGGAGAGTTTACATCCTCATGCAGGAGTTTACCTTTCAGTGGTAAAAATGAAATAAGAATAGGCAGAAATTTTGGACATGAAAATATAATCACGGAAATAAAATTCTCAGTAGAAAAGATAAACTCTATGCTTGACAGTATTTTTCATTTGGAAGATAATATTTAACAAGTCACCTAAAATGCAATAATGGGAAAATACAGTCTTTTTTTTTTTTTTTTTTTTTTATCCTCACCTGAGGACATCCTTCTATTTTTTGTTCAGGTAAAGTGAGAGGGAGAGAGAGGAACAGAGAGAGAGAGAGAAACATCGATATGAAAGGAACACATCGAGTGGCTGCCACCCACACGACCGACCAGGGCCAGGGACAAACTGCAACCGAGGTACATGCCCCCAGCGGGAACCGAACCTGGGTCTCTTCTGACCGCAGGCCGATGCTCTAACCGCTGAGCCAAACCGGCCAGGGCGGAAAATACAGTCTTAAAAGAAAGTGTGCATGTGTGTGTCTGATCGAGAGAAGACACCAAGGCAGCACTGAGGGGACAACACACCTGGCTCTGTGCAGTAGTACGCGGCCAATTACTGATTTCAATGCACAGGGCTGGTGCTGGAGTATACCGCCAAGTACTGAGCTTTGTGCCAGAGTACACTGCAATGTACCAAACTCTGTGGAGGAGTACACGACTAACGCACCGAGCTCTGTGCTGGAGTTCACCGCCAATTACTGAGTTCTGACACCGCCAATGCACTGAGCTCTGTGCCCGAGTACACCGCCAACTACTGAGCTCTCTGCGGGAGTACACCACCAATGCACCGACCTCTGTGCAGGAGTACACCGCCAATGTACCAAGCTCTGTGCCAGAGTATACCGCCAAAGGACACTGCCAAAATATTAATTGAATAATCAACTTCCTGAGGAAGCAAGCCTAGAAAGAAAGTGTGCATTTACAGTGGGGGGAGGAGAAGTAAAGGGAAACAGCTATTCTTTGGTACCTCCACTTGGGTCAACCGTATGAGTGACCTTGTAAAACGTGGAAGTAATAAATGTCAGCTTCGGGGTGGCCATCCCTTGGCGAGGGCAAGTGTGGGACCAGATGCGAGTGGAGAAGGGTGAGTGGCAAAGGGCATATCTGTCGGTAATGTTTCATTTTTTTTTTTTTTTAAAGAAACACTGTAAAATGCTAAGATTGTTAAAGCACGGTGGTGCGTGCATGGGTTTTCACAGTACTGGCCTCAGTGTGTACCTGTATAGGTGAAATAAAAGGACACTCAGGTCTTTCGGGAGAACGTGAATTTTTATGCACAGCAATAACGTTTATGAAACAGCTCATCTTCTGGCACTGGGGCAAGTTAAAACCCGTCTATCAGGGCTTACAAGGCCTACTCCTTCAGGCCTCTTTCTGAGCTGCTCCTTCATTCCTTCTAACCGAGCTCCAGCCACATGGCTTGTCTTCGGACCTCACACAAGTCAAGCTTTCCTCTTCTCACAACAGCGATCCTCTTAGATTGTGGTTACCTCTTTCTGATGCTGGGAAAAGTCTAGAGCATTTTTAAATAGCACAGATTCCTTTGATTTTCCTCTCCATCCTGCGCTCTTAGTAGATATGGACTCAGCCAGGTAAGTGAAACGATTTTCATGACACTTGATGGCTGTTCCGCTTTGCAGTAGTTCATGTCGCTGTAACTGTTCGTCCTGCGCTGAACATGTCCCTGGGTTACGCCAGTCCTGTCACTCGCGAAGTGTGATGACTTAGGAACAGTAGGCAGTTGTGGGATTCAGGCTGGGGGAATAATGTGTCTGTGGACTCGTGTACCAAGCACACTCATGGAAAGGCCTGGAACATGTGATCGAGATATCTCTGGGGGTTCCAGCTTTGGGGCACCCCCTCTGTGCCCACATGGAAATCTCCTATGAGTTCAAAATGAATTATAATGAGTAACAAAGAACTTTGGATGCTGAGCTGTTTTAAAAATTTTTGTTATTGTTTGAATTTGTTTTTGAGAGATTAATTAGATCATTCTCAGTAAGAATGAAGATGATGTTCATTTCAGAAGTTGCTCTTAGAGTTCAAGCTCTCCTAATTAAAGTGTAAAACTTGATTAATTTGTGCTACGTGATCTTCGACAAAAACCAAACATTACTACTAGCTAGGATTCCACTTAGTGTATTAAAATAGTTACCAGTTTCGCCCTGGCCAGTTTGGCTTAGCGGTTAGAGCGTCGGCCTGCGGTCCGGAGAGACCTGGGTTCGGTTCCCGCTAAGGGCACGTACTTTGGTTGCAGTTTGTCCCCGGCCCTGGTTGGTCGTGCGGGTGGCAGCCACTCGATGTGTCCCTTCACGTCGATGTTTCTCTCTCTCTCTCCCTTCCTCTCTCTCCCTCCCGCTCTGTCTGTGCAAAAAATGGAAGAATGTCCTCGGGTGAGGATAAAAATAAAATAAAATAAAATAAAATAAAATAAAATAAAATAGTTACCAGTTTCATCTTGGTGACCAAAAGAAAAGAGCCAGTGTATCCTTAAAGAGGTTTAATTTCCAATCGAAGCACATAGTTTAGTGGCTGAAATAATCAAACTCAGTAGTCTATTTAAAATTAGGTTTTTTGAATATCATTTTATAATAAGATACTTGCACAATAATGAAAATGGGAAAATGTTCTCCAATAGTCACAAGAAAATGTATTTCTTCAACTTTTATAATAATATTAATTTTTGCAAATATTAATGAGCACTTACTCCGTGCTATGTACTTACTGTACTAAGCATTTTATTTATATTAACCTACATAATCCTCTTGGCAGCCTTGTAAAGTAGATGCCAATGTTATCCCCAAATTACAAAAGAGGAAACTGAGGTATAGACCAATTAGGTAATCTCTCTAGGGCCACACAGTATATAATGGAGCCGGAGGTGGCTTTACTCATGTTTTCGAAATTGAAAATCACTGACCTTTTGTTGGAATCTCACCCATCCTAGTGTTCAACACATTTGGTTATTCATCTGTCTTTCAAAGGAAGTCAGTGCAACTTGTATATGTCTTCGCGAATTTTCATTTCTCTCACAAGTGTTCATTTATTCTTTGGATTCTTACAGGGCATTCTACTTGGACAAGTCAAATTCACCACCCAACTCCACCTCCAAGGCTGCCTATGTCGATAAGGTAAAGGTAGATGAAAGCATTTATTTATGCTTTGTCACCTACATACCTCCCTTACTTAATGTTTCTGCCATTGTTCTTGAGCAATGTGTATGTAATAAGTATTTGTAGTCTCCAATTCTGTTGCCTGCATAATACAATAAGACTATTCATTAAAAGTTATCACAGCTGTGAATTATATTTCATCCGAAAGGATTTATTAAAAAAGAAAAACTCATGGACACAAATAACAGTATGGTGGTTACCAGAGGGAAAGGGGGGTGGGGGAAGTAGAAGCAGGTAAAGGGGGGATAAATGGTGATGGATGGAGACTTGATTTGGGGTGGTGAACACAAAGTACAATATACAGATGGTGTACAATTGTATACCTGAAACCTGTATGATTTTTTTTAACTAGGGTCACTCCAATAAATTCAATAAAAATGAAATACAATAAATAAAAGGATTTCTTTCCACTAAACATATTGAACTTTATGTTCATGCCTTTGTTCTGCAGCTCATGAGGCCTCTCAATGCCTTGGATGAACTTTACCGACTGGTAGCCTCGTTCATCAGGTCCAAGCGCACGGCCGCCTGCGCGAACACAGCGTGCAGCGCCTCGGGCGTGGGGCTGCTGTCGGTGTCCTCGGAGCTGTGCAGCCGGCTGGGGGCCTGCCATGTCATCATGTGCAACAGCGGCGTGCATCGGTACGTGCGTGCCCGATTTCACCTAGTCGTTCTGGTTTACATTTTGGCGGCATAAAATTGTAACTGGAAACATTCAAGGGACTCAGATGTATTGGGAAGAAGATTTCAGAAATGAGATCATTCTTACACAGTATTTCCTGGCTTTAGTTCCTATATTTTCTGTGACTATTTATTCATACAAATGAATGCAGTCCCACATTTATATCATTGTAGCCCAGAATGTTGGCACCCTTGTATTGATAATACAGTATTTATACATTAGGTACAACATTATGCATGGACCTTATTTACTGTAGAAACTTGCTTGGTAAGATGTTTTTTGCTACATTTTGGACATTCCACTCCTCAGTGGTTTGGATCCCTATTACACAATATTGTGAGCTAGATACTGCCTTGGGGTGACTACCATCTTCCCACTCCTGGCCAAATAACAGTCCAAGAGCCCATATGGTATATTGTTCCTGAAAATTTAAGGGGACATCCAGATTCAGGTGGTCTGTCGTTGGCATCTGTGCTGTGGTTGGGACAGCCAAGGTTGGTGTATAGACTCATACAGCTACATCAGATGCAGAAGGTGAGTGGACAACCACAAGCCAAGTCCTTTTTTGTAATTATGTGCTCCTCTTCTGTCATCTTTCCATGTTCACAAGGAAGTGAAACCATGTAGGTGGAAAATAGGGAAGAATTTAGTCCTCATTGTCATCTTAGTGGGCAGAGAGCCTTCTGTCATTTGTCACTTTCTGTTCTTAGTTCTAAGCCAGTTAGATTTGAGGGTGGTGGTGATTACTTATTGAAATGTACGTGGTCCGTAACTCACACAATGGACAGCAGTTGGTGCCATTAGCTGGGTAGCAAAGTGGTGACACTCATGTGAGAGACATAGAAAGTATGAAAAACACACAATAGAAAATAATAACAAAATTAATAATAAATAATAATACAACAAAAACAATTTAAAAACAAAAATAACAAGTAAATCTAGACTATAAGAAAATGTAAATAACCTAGGACAGTTATCAATAAAAATTAAGATTCAGAGGGAAATGGATCTTTGCCAAGGTTAGAACTAGGATGTTTCCACTGAGAAGCTGATGGTTGAGCTGGGTTTTGCTGCATCAGGTTGAAGATGTAGGATGGGGGAGAAAGATGATTCAAGGCAGCAGGTGTTCATGTGTGAAATTCCATTTGACTTGGTATATCTGAATTCTAGTTTTCAAGTTCTACACAGCATGTCTTGGCTTATGTACTGTGGCAAGACTTTATTTTTCTGAAAGGAGAATTACATTTTTTCGGTGTACAGAATATACAGAATGTCCATCTTTATTTGAACTGCCTTGTACATTGTGCTCTATTGCAAACTTACCAAGAGCTTAATTGAAAATATTGTTGCAACTGAACATATAAAATTATTTCATGTTTTTTATTAGCAGGAAAAAATCCATTATGATCAACTCATTCATTCATTCTGGTCATATTAGTTCATTCATTTATTCACTCATTATTGATTCATTCAGTAAAGATGCATTGAGCACCAATTAGGTGCCAACACTGTTCTAGTGGCTGGGGATACAGCATTGAAAAAATAAAGTCCCTACTCTCCTACAGCATTCATTCTGTTGGGGGAAATAGATAACAAAGTAAACAGAGCCATATGTCATGTGATAGGTGAAATAAATACAAAAGAGATTAGAAGTCAGAGGGGTAAAAGGTGCGAGGATGGGAAGAAGAGGGTGTATCTTCTGACGAGGGGATATTATTAGAGGCCTCTGTGAAACAGAGTGAGTTATGCAGATACCTCAGAGAAGGAGCAGTCATCACAGGGAACAGCCATGCCAGTGTGGGAGCTCAACGGGCAGTGTGCCTGATGTGTCCGAGCAACAGCCCGGGGGCCATGGTGGCCTGAGCCAAGTGTCATCATTTGGGCATTTGTGGTCTTTTCTCATCTTGGTGCAAAATCATAGTTATCTGAGGACTGGATATACGGTGATCACCTCCACACTGAACGTTAATGCAATTAAATCTGCCAGTCAGTTCTAGAACCATAACCAAATTGTATGTCCAAATTATTCTCAGATATTCCATGAGCAATTTGAGAACTTGAATGATGTATAGGAGAAAAGATGGATGTCTCACCGCTATTTCACAATTGCTATATTCACTGAAAGGGGTGTTTGAATCACCAGGAACATTGGAATTTCAAAGTAGTTTGACCCTTTCAATTTCTACAATTCAAAATAAATATAGTTTTAGTTCATTTTGGAGACATGTATTGAGGTGTGGGCACAAATGCCCCATGGCAGATGCTGAACGAAAGGTTACAAGTATTTGAAAATTGGTATGGTTTTGTTTTTCCATGATAAAATGGGACTTTACCATTATCTTTTATCTTTTAGTGAAGGCGATGCTTAGATTTTTCATGATGATGAAATGTGTACTAATATATGTTGGAAAGAGAAAACCACATGAGACTGATTCTAAAATAATTCCTTAGTGATTGTCATTCAGGCAGCTAGAGAGGAACCAAGTAGATCTATACCTGCACTGACATCAGACACGGTTCCAGCAAAGGGAAGAAGTTCGCAGTGCGAGTCAGAGTAACTATTACACAAACTATTTCTATCCTTTACTTTTTTATTGAATTTATTGGGGTGACATTGGTTCACAAAATGATTCGATTTCAAGTATGCAACTCAATAAAACATCATCTGTACACTGCATTGCGCGTCCCTCACCTTTTAAAATCAAGATGAGAAATTGTCAAAAATATGATATCCGTGTTAGATAGTCAGTTTCCTACCTATTCTGATTTTATTTGCAAAACGATAATCTGAAATATTTTTTAAACGATTAAATTGTGCTGCATATGTTTGATATTAAAGAGAAGAATGTGGTTTCTCAGTATGAAAAGGCAGACTTAATTAGCATTAATGTCTAGGCATTTTAATGCCGATCTGAATTAGTTGGCAGAGCTGCACACACAGTGAATATGCGATTAGCTGGAATAGAATTCAGGATGAATTATTAAAATCTACTCATAGCATTTAGCCTGGCTTTGTTTTTATTAAATTCTCTTTCCTAGGGTAATCCTTTGTGTGAGATACAATGCCACTGAGGAACTTTCCTGCCCACAATCTCTTTAAACATTCACTTACCTTAAATGTCTTCATTGCTTTTGAATAGTGGAAGAACAGGACTGTCTGTTTTTAAGATCAGGTTTTGCCTTTTATGCAATATAAGCATGTTATTAAAAAGTAGTTTAGTAGTGGGAGAATACCCAAATTTCCTATCCTGACATGCCTTCTTTATTTTTATTGTATATCATCTCTTGTAGCTTCTATCAAACATCTGAACACAGTTTTATTGGTATATATAGTTTAATAATCTGCTTTATGCTTGTAGCAACTATATGTATTTCCAAATGTACACATCCACTTTCTCATTATCACTTTTATATGTTACCTGATATGCCAACTAGTTGTTACACTACAGTTTACTCAACTATTAGTTTAGTGGTTTCTCTTCTTTATCCTGTGCACATAAGAGGATTCTTTATGTAGCTGTTTATATTTCAATTTTATTTTCCATTAAGCTAAAAGAAAACAAAAATATTCTCCAGGTAGAATTACTGGAATTTAAACCTCTGGTTTATAGATTACTGTTCAGGTTCCCAAAAGGATTACTGTCCTCAGGCACAACACAACCAGAAGGGCAGGCGGCTGGGGGTCCGATCACCTTGACCTCGCCTGCAGAGGGTATAGAGCCCATTTACAGGGTGGGCAAAAGTAGGGTTACAGTTGTGAGTACTTGAAACAGAGTATATTCTTGTATTATTATTTGTTCATTATTGTATTATTTTCCATACAAACTCTAACCCTACTTTGCCTACTCTGTCTATATCACGCTTCTCTCCTGAATGGGCACTGGTATTTCAGTAGTGCTTTAATTTACACTTCTTTGGTTAACAAATACAAACGTTTGAGAATCTTTTGAATTTCCTTTCTTACCAAGATTTAGGCTATATATTGTCTATATCCGTGCCTCAGAGACAACTTTACTTTTTGCCAGAGTGGGTGTTTCTAACGTTTCGCCGGGCGAATGTTTTGAGAGTATGGAACCAGCAGGGCGGCTGTTCAAGTTGTCCTGTCCCCGGGCGGGGGGTTTCTCAGGTTCCCGTTGGTTTCCTACCGTGGCAGCCTCCCACTCACCGCGTCTCTTACTGTGTTTTGGTGCTTTATTCACACCCCCGCCTAATAGTCAGCTGTTTTTCTTCAACCGATATAAATCAGTATTCTGCAAATGTTATAAAACCTGAGGCTTGAGTCCTAGTATGTCCAAAAAACAGAGATGCCAGTTTCCTCCCACTGCATCAGTTCAGCTCCCTTGAGCGGGGGACAGTGGGTGGGGCTTGCCAGAGGCTCTCTGAAAAGATACTCAGAGAAATGTGTGGTGAAGGCAACAAATCTGGAACCATTTTTTCCCCTCTAAGGACTTACTCCAGAGGGGTTTTATCCACACACTCTCTGTGTCTGTTTGTAATGGGGGTTCGCTGGTGTCAGAGCCCTGGGATGGCCCTGAAGGAAGGGGTCATCTAGGCACTCGTCGCCTGCTTCTGACTGCCTGTGACGTCTTTGAGTTAAAACCTTGGAGCTCTGTATATGTAAATTACCTTTTAATTTCATGTTCTGTCGCGAAGGTGAATTTCTTCCAGGAAATAAGGTCTTGCATTTTTTACTAACCCCCAGTGGGGCCGGTGAGCAGCTCCATCAGGAGGATCCCCGCATCGGGGATTCAGCAGCACCAGTCAGCGTCACCACCGTCTTCTCTTTAGAAACACACACAGGTGTGAGAAAGGAAGTCTGTGGCAACACCGGCCTGTTCTCATCATTAAAAAACATGATGATGCCCTGGCCAGTTTAGCTCAGCAGTTGGAGCGTAGGCCTGCGGACCGGAGAGTCCGGGGTTCGGTTCATGCTAGGGGCATGTACCAAAAAAAAACAAAA